CACTGCCACCTCTGCCTCTGGGTTCAAGTGATTCTCCTTTTTTTTTTTTTTTTTTTTGGGAGACAGAGCCTTGCTCTGTTACCTAGGTTGGAGTGCAGTGGCAACCTCCACCTGCCGGGTTCAAGCGATGCTCTTGCCTCAGTCTCCCGAATAGCTGGAACTACAGGTGTGCACTACCATGTCCAGCTAATTTTTTATCTTTAGTAGAGACAGGGTTTCACCACATTGGCCAGGCTGGTCTTGAACTCCTGACCTCAGATGATCCTCCAGCCTCTGCCTCCCAAAGTGCTGGGATTACAAGTGTGAGCAACCGAGCCTGGCCTCTAATTCCATTCTCTAATTGCCCCTGGAATCAAATAACATTTATCTTTTTCTTCTAAATATCAACACTATGAGTAAATCATGTTTAATACATTTTTATTACTAAATTGGGTAATAGTCACAAACATCAAAACAGGAAAAGCATATAACTAGAAGCTAATTATAATCTAAGCCCAAAATAAGAGTGCAATAAGGGAACATGTTTTTTCACAATAGACAATGAATTGCCACTGTAGTGTTAAACATACAGCTGGATATTACTATTCATAATAATAATGTAACATATACATCTGTTCATCTTCCTGTTATTTTCAGTGTTGCATTACTTAGACAGTTTTAGGGGTGTTTTTTCTGTTTTTGTTTCTTGAGATGGAGTCTCCCTCTGTTGCCCAGGCTGGAGTGCAGCAGCCCGATCTTGGCTCACTGCAACCTCCACCTCCTGGGTTCAAGGGATTCTTCTCCTGGCTCAGCCTTCATGAGTGGCTGGGACTACAGGCGCACCACCACACCCAGCTTTTTTCTAATTATTTTTGGTAGAAACGAGGTTTCACCATGTTGGCCAGGCTGCTCTTGAACTCTTCACCTCAGCTCATCTGCCCGCCTTGGCCTCCCAAAGTGCTGGGATTAGAGGCGTGAACCACCACACCCAGCCAGTTTTAGGTATTATATGCAGTATGGAACACCTTAGAACAGTCCCAGTAGTATACCGAGCCAGAGCCTTGCTCCTCCAAATGTGGTCCTCAGACCATCAGCATTAAAATCCCTGGGATTTCCTTGTTAGAAATAAAGAATTTCAGGCCGGGCGTGGTGGCTCACGTCTGTAATCCCAGCACTTTGGGAGGCTGAGGCAGGCAGATCACAAGGTCAGGAGATCAAGACCATCCTGGCTAACACAGTGAAATTCTGTCTCTATTAAAAAATACAAAAAAATTAGCCAGGCATGGTGGCGAGCACCTGTAGTCCCAGCTTCTCTGGCGGCTGAGGCAGGAGAATGGCATGAACCTGGGAGGTGGAGCTTGCAGTGAGCCCAGATTGCACCACTGCACTCCAGCCTGGGCGATAGAGCGAGGCTCCATCTCAAAAAAAAAAAAAAAAAAATTTCAGGCTCCACCCAGACCTACTGAATTAGAATCTGCATTTCAACAAGATCCCCAGGTGATTTGATTGCACATTAAAACTTGAAAGCTGTGACATACAGGAATAGACTACTGCCATCCCTCTAAAATAGATCAGTAGTAAAGAGTTTGGAGAATCTACATTATTCTTTAGAAGGAAGAAATATGAAAAACTAGTTTTCGTTTTAGAGCTTAGGAGGAAAATGGGTACTTACTACAATTATTAAACTCTAGGTAAGAAAATTTTGAAATAAGCATGGTTATTATGAGATTAAGTTAGCTACAGACTATTAGGAAATTAAAAATAGAAAGGTGCCATCCTTTTCATAGGATTTACTTTTTGGTCCACTTTTTATCCTTCTAAACTCTTCACTTGTAACCTCAAATTTCAGTATAAATGGCCATAATAACAGAAATGCCAAGCTGCCATGGCCAATGCTGGGAATATAGCAAGTCACTACTTGGATAAGTTAAAGGTTCTAAAATGTTCAGTTTACCAGCACTTAATACTTTTCTTAGTTTTTTGTTGTTGTTGTTTAGTCAAGGGTGGTAAATGCTTGGAAATATAATTTTATCCTTAGGTGGCTTTTGTTTTACAGAGCTTCGATATGACCTGCCAGCATCATACAAGTTTCATAAAAAGAAATCAGTAAGTCTCTTGATTTTGGCTGGTCTGCATTCGGTATTGAAAAGTTTTCTGGGCCGGACGTGGTGGCTCATGCCTGTAATCCCAGCTACTCGGGAGGCTGAGGCAAGAGAATCGCTTGAACTCAGGAGGCGGAGGTTGCAGTGAGCTGAGATTGCCCCACTACACTCCAGCCTGTGCAACAGAGTGAGAGTCAGTCTCAAAAAAGAAAAAGAGAAAAAAAAAGAAAAGCTTTATGACAAGTAATTATTTCTAGTGTTATCAACTTTCCTGTGTAAATATAGAAAGACAGCCTAGGAGACACCGTAAATGGCCTGTGGGAAGGGCCCATAGTCAACAGCTAATATTCTAGTTCTTTATTAAATGCTCTGGGTACAAAAAGAAAAAAAACAAAAAACTGTTTTTGCTCTTTTCATATAGCATATATTTTATTAGTTTGTACTAATACATTCTCATATTACAAAGGCAATTTAATGGAAGAATCTTCCTTTTGATATTTGAATCATCTGAAATAACACAAACAGAACTATACATTCAAAGAAATCTCATTTGCATAACAAAAAGACAAGTTAAACAACAACAAAAAATTTTTCCTTTCTCACAGGTGGACATTGAAGTGGACCTAATTCGGTTTTCCTTTTAAAAGCCCCCGCAAACAAAAGTAGTTTAAAACCTATTTAAAATGAATAAAAAATTGGTTTACTAAACTACTGGTCTCCAGCACCATTTTCTGTTTTCTGTTGTTTGGATGCAGGTTCTTCTTTGTCTGTTTCTTCTCTTGCTCTTTTCACAGGTCCTATAACGTAACAATTTTTGTTAAATTCAACATAAGTACTGCTCTATTTTAATACTGAGTACAATTACTAATAATGATACTGTTGAAAAAGATGCAACAACTTCCTTGCACCAATGAGAAAAGGCTTTTCTCTTAGTACAGACCTGACCTCTACATTCATCTTCCAAATATCCTGTCCCTGACTTATACAACAGCATAACGAAGGTAAATCATAATAATCCAAGAATGGCACTTATCCAGAAGTTGAAAAACCAAATCCCTATTCTCTGGCAAATCATTTATTTATGGAAGTACAAATTTTCTCATGAAACTACCAAAGGACTTAGGAAAAAACTTACCAGTTGCACCATTTTCATCATGTTCATCATCACTAGCAAATTTCGTTTTCTTGCCCTGAAACTGTACTTTTCCTTTACCAGACCCAGGCTGGGCAGCTTTATTACCCTTTCCTTTTCCTTTAAATCTACGACCTGTAGAGACACAATTGAGCACTCTGTAAAGAATATTTTTTTAAGTCTCTTGTCAATGTTTTTGAACACTGATTAAAGTTTTTGCTGAAGTAAATGGGTTCAACCACCAAACTGTTAAAGAAAAATCAGAATAAATGACCTTTTGACTTCCATTTGTTTAGGGATTCTTGTTGGTCTTCTATTATTTTTTTCAGTGCTTCTTTTTCCACCTCTCCTTCTAGTACTTCCCAAGTCACTTCTTTGTTCCTTAATTGTAGGTTACCATTATTTGCATCTTTGGCTTTACCCAAAGCTTCCTTGGCTTTTTCTTTAAATAGAATTATCCCCTATACCAGAGACAGAAAACAAAAGCCATACCCTTAGTTTTTTAGTCCCACAATTAATTTCTTTGTTCAAAGTAATTTTTTCTACCATGCAAACCTTCCATGCCTTTACCAGTTTGAATGAACTTTACTGAACAGTAGAAAAGGAATGCTACAGAAGTAAAACTGCAATAATCAATATGAACAGTTATTCATAGTATAATTCAGAAACCATCAGACATCACATATAGTGACAATAACAACAAAGTAAATGATCAAGTAGAAACTAGTTTAGTATAATTCAGAAAATATCAGACATCACATCTAGTGACAATAACAACAAATGATCAAGTAGAAACTAATTTAATAAACACAATTTTAAAAATTGCTTTCTACTAATTTTGTCTAAGTTTCTACAGATTTTCAGACTGACTGCTAAAAAGCATAGGAATGTTTCCAAACCTCTTTTGCTCCTCTGACGAAGTCTATCCATTTTATTTCACCATGATTTGAGAAAAGTATGTGTAAATCTTCTCTACAGGTCTGATCATCTAAATCACCTGAAAATTTCAGCAAGCATCCAATCTTTTCTTCTAGAGATTTCTATAAAAATATACAAAGTGATCAAAAAGTTTCTTAAAAGCAACAACAGACCATAAATGACTCACACCACATTATAGCTATACAAGAAAGAGCCTAGAAACCAAAATGCTATTTTAAAGTAGTTTCTCTTGCCTAGGCAGCAAGAGCGAAACTCCATCTCAAAAAAATAATAATAAATAAATAAAGTAGTTTCATAGTGTTGGTGTTTTCCTTTGTCATCCTTTATCCCAAAATGGCTTTCAATATTATTTGATCTCTTATACAACTGGCATTTAGTTATAAACTACGTAAAATCTGGTTATTAAACTATCTTGGAAAATAATTCTAGGCAGTATTTATCATACTTTAAAAAATTTTTAGGCCAGGCGCAGTGGCTCATGCCTGGAATCCTAGCACTTTGGGAGGCCGAGGTAGGCGGATCACAAGGTCAGGAGATGGAGACCATCCTGGCTAACATGGTGAAACCCCGTCTCTACTAAAAAAAAAATATACAAAAAATTAGCTGGGCATAGTGGCGGGTGCCTGTAGTCGCAGCTACTCAGGAGACTGAGGCAGGAGAATGGGGTGAACCCAGGAGACGGAGCTTAGTGTGCCCAGATCGCGCCACTACACTCCAGCCTGGGCAACAAAGCAAGACGTCTCAAAAAAAGAAAAAAAAAATTTTTTAAAGAGTCATTATTATTTTCCCCAAATAAAAAATTTTACCTGTAACTTTCTAAATGGAAATACACATCACTATCTTATTAAGTCAAAAATAGCCAGGCGCGGTGGCTCAAGCCTGTAATCCCAGCACTTTGGGAGGCCAAGACGGGCGGATGACGAGGTCAGGAGATCGAGACCATCCTGGCTGACACGGTGAAACCCCGTCTCTACTAAAAAATACAAAAAATTAGACCGGGGCGAGGTGGCGGGCGCCTGTGGTCCCAGCTACTCGGGAGGCTGAGGTAGGAGAATGGCGTGAACCTGGGAGGCGGAGCTTGCAGTGAGCTGAGATCCGGCCACCGCACTCCATCCTGGGCGACAGAGCCAGACTCAGTCTAAAAAAAAAAAAAAAAAAAAAGTATTAATCTATGATTAGAATCTTTAGAAGTTATAGGACATTTTCTCATAAACATAAGTTCTAGGCATAAATGAACTTTTTCTGAATATTTCAAAATATATTTTCCTGTGTTTTATTATATTCTTTATTTTTAGACAGGGTCTCACTCTGTCACCCAGGCTGGAGTGCAGTGGCATGATCTTGGTTCACTGCAACCTCCACTTCCTGGGTTCAAGTGATTCCCCTGCCTCAGCCTCCCAAGTAGCTGGCATTACAGGCATACACCACCACGCCTGGCTAATTTTTGTATTTTTAGTAGAGGCAGGATTTTACCATATTGGCCAGGCTGGTCTCGAACTCCCAACCTCAGGTGATCCACCCACCTTGGCCTCCTAAAGTGCTGGGAATACAGGCGTGGGCCACTGCACCCGGCCTTTTCGTATTTTAGAACATATTTCCTATCCTTAGTGTTCTCTTTTCCCTCAATATAATACCTGATGTATTACTTTAGTGCAATGACAACTATAGATAGCTTTGCTTACATATTTTCTTGAAAAAGTCCTCAGACTTAAAAGCTATTCATTTAACTATGAATTACAGATATACTAGATAGCAGTAATATATACTTACCATTTCGGCATCTTCTTCTAACTTTTGTTTTGCTTCTTGCTCTCTACAAATAAAAATATCATAATTATAACATACTTCCATTTACTATATAAGAAAATTAAGTCCTAATAAAGTTAACCAATCATGATCACTAAACTTACTTAACCAAAGCCAGAAGTCCTTAGGTTTTTTTGATCGTCCAATGCTAGACTGCAATGCAATTTGGCCCCGAAATTGTCAAGGCAGCTTAAGATCGCAATGTTTCACTAGCAAAGAGAAAGGTCTACTGCCACTATTTCAGAGCTCACCAACTATATTTCTGTCAGAGCATTAAGGAATTCAAAGTATGTCATGATTAGTTCAACATACTTACTGTTTAGCTCTTAATTTAGCTTCCACTTTGTTTTGTTTTCTTTCTTCATTTTTTTTGGCAAAGTAATCATCCCTAAAGAACACACAGTACAGAGGCTAAGTTCACGAGAACAAAGTTAAGACTGCAGATTATTTTGAATAACTTAAGCCATGGCACAGCAATAAATGTTGCATACATTTACTATCAACATAATCATCAACTAAAAATTCAAAATATGCCAAGGAAGTTACTCTCTCATGTTGTTTTAAATAACAGCTTTACTAAGGAAAAATTCCATGTGCCACAAAATTCACTCTTTTAAAGTGTACCTTGAATGTTTTTTTAGTATATTCAGTTGTACAACCATCACTACTAATTTCAGAACATTTTCATGACCCCAAAAAGAAACCCCCTATCCATTAGCAATTTCATGTTGATTTTCATTTATCATTCATGTATAGGGGAAAAAAAGTGTATCAGAAGTCATGCAAATAATATTGCAGTTTTCTATAGTGTTAATTCCACAAAAGGAGAAAATTCTAAAATCCCCAAGATCCAAGAATAACAGCAATTATGAAAACCATGTTAAGTAATTTTTGAGGAATTAACACTGATACTATGACTGACACTATGACTGTGATCCATCACAGTGCATCTCTAAGTCAATCAGGTTTAGTATATACCATTTAGAAGACCGTAATGCACTAAAATACTAAAAATATTGGCCTTTCAGGGGATGCTACTTCCATGCTCCTTACCCTAGTGTGTCAATTCCATATAACTAAAAGGCCAGGAGAAACATCAGCAAAAAGACTTACTTGAAAAGTATTAGCAAATCTGTTTCTTTGTACTTCTGGTCAGGGGTCTCTACAAACTTCTTAGCAGATTCAATGCTATCAAACACAACAAAAATTGATCCCTATAAAAAGGAAGGAAAATATTTTTTAAGTTATTTCCCATATATTCTAAAACTAGAAAAAGTCTGTATTATCATACCTTAAATGCTTTATGCAATGTTCTTCTCATCTGAATATTTAGTACTTGACCTTTATCTTCTAACCATTCTTTTATGTCATCAAGAGTTGCATCAGTTGGGAAGCCTTTCTGTGAAGAGTGGGAAGTAATGTACAAATAACAAATAATGACTTCTCAGATAAACAATTGGAGAGAATTTGATTCATTTTATCTTGAAATGAACACAGGATATACCTATCTATCTCTATTTATCTTTGTTAATCACTTAACAGCCTTGTTTAGGAGCCACTACTCTCCAGTGCAATAAAAGTGATTCATCTGGTATTTGCTTCAAAATAATTCAGTTGAGGCAAAAATAAAACAAGATGATTTGCATGTTCTGTTAATAACTAGTAAAGCTGGTGATGGTACATTATTGAATCTATTTATATACATCTGAAATTTTCCATAATAAAAAAACTATTTAAAAATATGCTAAAGAAAATTGCAATCAAGTTTAGCTGCTGATAAGAACAGCTAACATGCCGGGCGCGGTGGCTCAAGCCTGTAATCCCAGCACTTTGGGAGGCCGAGACGGGCGGATCACGAGGTCA